AAATCTGTCCAACTTAGCTTGTACTTGAATACAGGTCTCTAAACCCTTCCACACTCAAAAATTTAATGCAAACTCAATGGTCTAAGACATTATTCTGATCAATGGAAGTTTGCACAAGAGTTTAATCTATTTTTGGCAAAAAGTGAACTATGCCATTTTGATACAAGCAACTTTATGTCAACTTGCTTCCCTTGAGCCTTGGACGTCTCTTTTTGCAGCAAACAAGTTCCATAAACTTAGGCAAAGGTACAACAATCTTATGCATGCTTGGAGATAACCTGTACAGGCCTATCTTGTATCACTTCACACTTTTCTTTCAAAACAAGTCAACTTGCCAAAATCACATAACTTGAGTATCTGATATAACCAACTCTGGTAAGCATTTGAAACAAGTTTTGCACATTACCTTGAGCCAGAAACACGAGCCATCCATCCCTCAAACACTCAAACACCAAAAACTTGCAAAACAGGGCACTCTCTGCAGTTTCACTTCCATCTCACAAACCACTCGTGCGTTTTGTCACAAGCCAGTTCCAATACCTTCCATATAACCCATCTGAACTATCCCAACCATTGACCATTGGCCATTGACTGTAACTCCATTTGCAAGCTTCACCATTTCTGATTTCAGCTTGTGCAGGTTGACTTCTACAGGCTTATTCAAGCAAGCTCAAAGCAAACAAAGCATTGGGGAAGGTCAGAGGAAGTTCAGGCAAGCTTACAAACATCTCAGGCCTCACTGAAAACCCCTGCATTGCCATACTCGTGTTCAACTGAAACAATTATTTTCCAACTTTCTATCTCTCTATTTAGGAATCATTAGGCTTAGGTTTGTGAATAAAAAATGTAGTACTCATAGCCCTTAAACTGTACATATACATAGATTTCATTTAAGTTAACTGTGTTGAGAGAATTTGAGTGATGAACATTCTGAAAAAGTTAAGTTAGAAATTATGGCCAGAGAAATTCTCTCTGGTCTTTGAGAGTTAGATTAAGTTTTTTATATGGTTGGAATCGTGTGATTATGCTCTACAACTTTCATGTTACAAGTTTTTATTTTTAAGCACTGAAACAGGAGATACAAAGTTGAACTCAGAACGCGCATTTTTGTGTTTGAACGAAGATTGAAGATGAAGTGTTGGACTGGGCCTGCCTTTTCCCTACTTTTTGCACCCCTGACTTGCTGATTGCAGCCCCCTGGCTCATTTCATTATATTTTTTAATTTTTCTATTTTCTTTTTCATTTCTGATTTTATTTTATTTTTTCTAAACATAAAAAATTACCAAAAACATTTTCATAAATTTTCACATTTTATTTTGTATTTTTTTTTAATTATTTTTTCTAACATAAAAATAATTATTAAATAACATACTTTTATTTTCTTTAATAAAAACTTGAAAATAATACATAAAAATATTATATTTTTTATTTTTATTATTTACATACTTAAATAATATTGTTTCTAATATATTTTTATTTTTTGACAGTTGTATATATTTTATTATTTTATTTTTATTATACATAAATAATATAATTAATATATATATACTTTCTTAAAATAAATTAGGGTTTTTACCCTTAACAAAAATAACTTTTTATTTTCTTTTTTTAATACATTAAATATTATATTTTTACATACATGAAAATAAACAAAAACATTTTTGCATATTCATAATATTTTGCATATTTATATTTTTATTGCTTATTTAAATAGTTTATTTATCATTTGAGCAAAGAAGTTCAATTTGGATGTAATAGTTAATCTTAGGGTTTTATTTTCTTGCCAATATTCCCCATTCAAAATTGTATCCCTCCTCCCCATATCAATGATGTAATAGCTTAGATTACTTTTACGCATTTATGCTTTCAAATATGCCATGATAGAGATTAGGGTTTGTATGCAATATCCAAAATCAAAATAAATAGTTAGACCTAATACAAGACATAAATGCATGAAAATGACAACACAATGCACACATGCACCCCTAGGGTTTCATCCACTTGTTGCCTTTAAAATGGACATGGTATGCATGTTGAGTATCTTGGCAAAACAAAAATCAAAACAAAAATATCATAGTCCCTCGATGACGCTATCTTGGTTGCCTATACAAAATGATCTAGTCCCTCAAAAAGTTGCTAAAGATACTTAGCATTATTGCTGTCATGGTCAATACGATGACCCGCGTCTGCCCCGTTTAACATCCAAATACAAGGTTGTTTACCAAATGCAATGGTAAAACAACAATGTAAAAGGGTTAAAAATGTGTAGGAAAGATCTTTGAGTAGATAGGGTAGACAACTCTTAGTTACTTGATCAAAACTTGCAAAAACATCCTTGCTATTTTCAAACACACCTCACAACACAATTTCAAAACATTTCCCAAAATAAACTTTCAAACATTGAAACATTTTTCAAAAGACAATACATCTTTGTATACATTCAAACAACAATCATTATAAAGGTTTCCTAGACAAGGTCTCTTTTCAAAATACTTTCAAAACCACACACAAATCACCATTTCAAACAATTGGAAAGCAAAAGCAAGTGATCTAAACAAGTAACTAAGAGCCCATGGATAACCATGGATGAAAAGGGTGCTTGCACCTTCCCTTTTCATAATCTACCCCCCGAATCCAAGAAAACATCTCAAAGGTCTTTCCTGTGCTTTTTGACCTTTCCTTTGGATAAAATAAAAAGTCGGTGGCGACTCTTGCTAAACCGAAGCATTTGCGAACACAAACGCAAAACCTCAAGTCAGTTCTCCCTCCGCATCACAGCTAGGTTCTTCCAATAGATCATCTTGGAAACTTAGATCACCCATTGGCTAGGTTCTTCCGATAGATCACCTTAGAACCTGAGATCGCCCATTGGCTAGGTTCTTACAATAGATCATCTTAGAACCGGAGATCACCCGTTGGCTAGGTTCTTCCGATAGATCATCTTAGAACCTGAGATCGCCCATTGGCTAGGTTCTTCATATAGATCAACATAGAACTTGAGATTGCCCATTGGCTAGGTTCTTCCAATAGATTATCTTAGAACCTAAGATCGCCTGTTGGATAGGTTCTTCCTCAGATAATCTTAGAACCTGAGATCACCCATTGGCTTGGTTCTTCCAATAGATCATCTTAGAACCTGAGATCACCCATTGGCTAGGTTCTTACAATAGATCATATTATAACATGAGATCGCCCGTTGGCTAGGTTATTTCGATAGATCACCTTAGAACCTAAAATCTCCCATTGGCTAGGTTCTTCCAATAGATCATCTTAGAACCTGAGACCGCCCATTTTCTAGGTTCTTCCTATATTTCATCCTAGAACATGAGATCTCCCATTGGCTAGGTTGTTCCAATATATCATCTTAGAACCTGAGATCTCCCATTGGTTAGGTTCTTCCAATAAATCATCTTAGAACCTGAGATCGCCCATTGGCTAAGTTCTTCCAATAGATCATTTTAGAACCTGAGATTGCCCATTGGCTAGGTGCTTCCAATAGATCATCTTAGAACCTGAGATCGCGCATTGGCTAGGTTCTTCCAATAGATCATCTTAGAACCTGAGATTGCCCATTGGATAGGTTCTCCTTACAGATTTTGTCTTAGAACCTGAGATCTCCCATAGGCTAGGCTCCCCGACAAATCACTCTTATGTTTCATTATAGGGTCGTAGGTCGCCCGTAGATCTTATTCGTCGTCTTTTCACACTGACCTTTGTCTTGTATTGGCATCATGCTGCGTTGCAAGTCTATCCTTATCTTGTATTGGCAGCACACCATGTTATAAGTCCAACCTCTATCTCGGATTGACATCACACCATGTTACGAGTCCAATCTCCGTCTCCTCACTAGAAAACGAAAAATTATTTCCCAGCAATCTATCACAAAAACAAATAAGCACTCACGCCTTCTTTCAGAACAAATTTTTGGCATTGATATTTAATCATCTTCTACCTCGAACATCTGAAAGGCACACACCAATCGTACTTTCAGGGTTAAGACGATTAAATAGGTGTAACTATAATACCCCAAATTTGTCCTACCCTTTCACTTTTATCTGGCTTAGGCATCTCGCACTTCTAGCATGTATATAAACTCGATTAGGTCATATAACACATTATGCATCACTGATCAGTAACTTGGAAGGGGATCAAGGATCTTGAAGCTAAGGTTTTCTTCTGCTGTAAGGCTCTTATCTTCACACGAGCTTGTTTCAAATAGTTTTTTCATCAACTTTGGTTTTTGGAATTATGGTTTGTGATCATTGAAGACTTCTTCTTTCATTAAGATACAATGTTTTTGTCAAAAGACTAAGCCCTCTTTTCAAGTTACTACTATAAACAAGCGGATTAGGGTTAGCATCTCATTAACTGAAGATAATTTGGTTTAAGGCACTGCTTTTGTCAAGTCAAAATATTGTATGAATTGAATTAAGTTATGGTACAAAGGCGACTGGATGGATTTATTAAAATGCTTATTACTTCAATTGCTTGGATTTTGAGAAGTTGAAGTTAGGAGTTCAAGGTGATTTGGAATTTTCCCTTTAATATTTGAAGTGAATCAAAGTTATTAAACATTTGGGAAGGATTTTTTGGAGTTCAAATTACAAGGCGTGTATCCAATTCACTCTTTTCATCCTAATCAAAGTATCATCCAAATATTCATTCAAGAATTCCTTCGAGATTTGAGTCGATTTTGATTACCTTGCCAATGTTCTAGATTCATACCATGGCCGTTTGAATTCACACAAAGGCCTTTAAAGTGAATATTAGAGGAAAAGAGCTTGGGACTTCAAAATCATTTTGGAAGATAAAAGTTACATTGAAGAAACTATCATTGAACGTTCAAAGTCATATTACAGAAAATTTCCATACACCATGTTACACTATAATATTACAAAGCATTTCCATTATAAAATTATGTACCAAATCACAAATTGCAAAAAAGGGTCTTTACAATGAAACAAGTTACGTGGAATAATCTGTCAAAAATCTGAACTTCATGATCAAGTCTCAACCTTCATTTTGTTTCGACTTTTGCTCCAAATCCACTTCATTCCCCTCATGTTGTAACCATGTTCATGCTCCAAAGGTCTTCACTGTTTCAATACTTCCTGTCTGGCTCACCAATTCAGGTTCCTCATTACCTATGGCTGCCCTAACACCCAAAATTTTCCAAGCCAACATGCTTTGCCAAAACCTGCATCGAATATACAAATCCAAAAATCATGGTTTACAAGGGAGCTATGCCATGTACATGAAAAGAAAGTTCCCAGAAGCACCATTAGAAAACCCGTCCACACTTGGTCGTTGATAACCCAGCGCTGCTCATGATACCAGTTCCCTGCAATAAGTAAATAAACAAAACAAAATTCAATTCAGAAGAAAAACATGGAAAATATAATTAAACTATAAAAATCAGAAATATAAAGAGAGGAGAAAACAGAATTGCCAGCTCAGCCCAAAATTTTCTAACAATTTTTTCAATATTTTCCCAACCAACTTTTAACTGATTAACAACTAACTAACTTTTAGCTTAGTTTCCAACTAACTGTCAACTCTAGCTAATATATTAAACTACCCTGCATTCGTAAACTAGCACATAACCTCCTCTCTAACAGTTTCCATCCAGCTTCCAACAAAAATAACCAAAACAAAATTACTAACCCCAACTGTTTCTAACAACCTCTAACAACCCCTCTAACTGAACTTCTTAATAGAACCCAAACCTGTAACTAACTGTTAACATAACAGTCTCAATCGAAACAACCTAATAGAATTTCCTAACAGATTCCAACAAATTTCCACAACAAAATAACTAACATAAAACAGAAACGTCTAACCGAAAACTAACCCTAAATGTTTCTAACAAACTCAACAAACTTCCAGCTAATCATTCTCAACCAACTTCCTAACAGAACCTAGAACAAACTTTCTGATACAACATATCAGGAATCAGAGAAAAACTCACCAATAAAAAAATATCTGCACTCCTCTTCATTCTCTCTACCTGTCAGCGTCTTAGTTCAACCTTCATTTTTCATCATCAACCTTCTAACAAAAATCGATATCATCATCCCTGCAGATTCAAAAGAATATGAAATCATTATCCATTCATCATTATTCAACCTAGAAAGATCACAAAAAATTCCACCATTTAGTGTAACTGTAAATCCGCCCTTAAATCTTATCCAACCGCATTCACCACCATTTAATTGGATCTTGAAGCCCCTAGGATTTTCTATTATTTGATGAAGTTTAGGAGGGATAAGTAGAATTGATACAGACAGCTTGAAGATAATAATGGAGAAATTGAGTTATCACGGTTGAGGGTGGCAATTAGCATTAAGTATTGAGGTTAGAGGTTAAAGGCGGAAATGAAAGAGGAGAAGTTATCGTGACCGTTTGAGGGAGAAGAGGGTACGGAGGCCAGATGTTGGTGAAGATGATCATGATATGGGTAGGACAAATTGAACAATCGGAGAAGGTTGAGCTTTCATCTGCGCCGCGAGTTGAGGATGAAGAAGAGAGAAGCTTTGGTTGCTATATGAAGATGAAATGTCACCAACATTTAACCATATTAAAAGTACACCGTTTCACATCATCAATGTATAATTTCATATCTTTTTTTTTAATTTTATTTCATTTTTTCAGTTTAATAAAAATGGGATAATTCTGAAACGTGAATAATGGTGATGAATGTTGTTGGACTGCTGAACCATTCCTTGGGCCTTATTGTGCATAACCATCTTTCCTAGCCCATTACACCATTTTTTTTAAAAGCCTGAAACCAAACAAAAAAACAGGCACCTGAACATTTGGTCATGGGCCTAATTCCATGCTTGTTGGTTTATGCCCCTGATCTAGTTTAGCACCCCCTGACTTCCCTATTTTTCTTTTTTTATATCTTTTCTAGTTTTAATTTCTTCTTTCATGTTTTTTATATAGAAAAAATATAATAAAAACAATAAAAATAATAGAGTATAATAGAATTTTTCTAGGAATTAATTCTTTAGTCTTTTAAAATTTTTCTTACTTAAAAACTAATGAAAAATACTTGTTTCATTCTTTTAGTTTTATCCATATCTTCGTACTGTTTTGTCTATTATTTTTTTGACGCGTTTGTTCATTGTGCAAGATACGCTCTTTTTTCTTTCGATCATATAATATAATAGGTAGTTATATGATCGAAGCATACGGCTTATGCTCGCTTCTGATGTGACACGCCTTATTTCTCATCATCCTGAGAAATTCATATCATATTATATGTTATCCTGATGCATGTGATATTGTATGATGCTTTGTGCAGGAACTTCTGATTATGCGTTGCATTCGCAATACGCATTTGATTTTATCTTAGTTGGATATCATTCCTGACTTTGTTTGTTTCTTGGTGAAGCTTGCTCGACGCGTACTCCCTTCTTCTCCATTGCTTTCGTCTGCTTTCAATGATTTGCTTGCTTGTGGCAGTTGCCACTACTACCTTTCGTATTTCCCTGCACTTTACAACATTTCTTTACTGCTTTTCTAGATATCATGAGAAGTAGGGTTTTACTGCTTTCTGATGCCATGAGAATTAGGAATGGAGATGTATGACGGGGGTCTCCATTGCTGATTATGTCAGGAACCCCTCTGGTTTATTTAAAGATCTGTTTAGGGCAATTCCGTATTGTATGCATTATGTCTGATATTTGTGTTTGTTTCAAACTCTACCTTTGAAGTAGGTATTTTGCACGCGTGCTTATATTTGTGCTCGCATATGTATAGATGATAAGTCCTCAAAATTAGGCGAGTGGGGAGGGTTCACAATCAACCCCCGCAATTTCGCCTGTGTCATCCTTAGCTCGTGACGCACCATGATACTTCAGAGTTATGCTTGCTCTTGTGTATAGAGTCATCAAGTAGGGAAAGGTTCCGTAATCGAACTCCCGCGCTTTGTCAGGAGTTTGCATTGGCCGATGCTGATACTCTATAATCATTTATACTGCCTTCTATCGCCTACCTCGATCTCCTATATCTTGGTTAGGTGTTTAGTCGCTTTGGACATTACATTTTTGTTTTTTCATCCTACTCCCTCTTGTTTGTCTCGGGTGATACGCTCCCCTTGGATGAAGCATTTCGCTTCTTTTCTTTACTATTTTGTGCGTGTGCTCTTTCGAGCTTGCTTGTTTTATCCTTGTACATACCATGTTACCTTAGGATGTGCTTGTTCCTTTCGGATTCAAGTTAGACCTTAGGTTGCAAGCCATGCATCACTATGCCAAAATTAAGATTAGACAGCACACCTAAGGCAACACTTCTTATCAAAAGCACTGCTAAAAGTCCATTTTAAAAACACGAGAATTTGATCGTATACCTTATACATCACTTTCTAAAAAGGCGATGCCTAAGGGGGTCAATATGGTTTGATAAAGCACTGCTAAAGGGGGTAGGTACTAAAGTGCTGCCTAAAGGGTGGGCTTACAAAGCGCTTTTTAAAAGTGATGCCTAAAGGGTGGGCTTAAGCAGAGCTTTGTGAAAGCGCTGCCTAAAGGGGGGTGAATATGGTTTTATAAATCGCTGCTAAAGGGGGTAGGTACTATAGCACTTTGGAGAAGCGCTGCCTAAAGGTTGGGCTTACAAAGTGCTTTTTAAAAGCGCTGCCTAAAGGGTGGGCTTACGCTCCTCTTTGCAAAAGCACTGCTTAAATGTGGGGATTAAGCAGTGCTTTCTACTAGAAGTGCTGGAAAAGGGTGGGCTTACGCAGAGCTTTTGAAAGCGCTGCCTAAAGTCCTGTTATAAAAAAATAAAACACGCCCAGCAATATCACACAATAATGTTATTATTTTTCAGAAACCCATTTTCACGAACCCAACACAATTACGAACCCGCTAGATGAACCCATTTTCACTAAGTTTTTCGTTTGATTCTAAATGAAAATAATTTCATCCTTTCTTCATGGTTCTTATCCTTCTTCTATTCAATATTGTTTCATCCTTTCTTCCATTCACAACCAAGGTTATCTTCTCCTCTAAGTATGATTTTTGATATATTTGATAATGTTGATATATAATGTTATATTTGGTTTAGTTGATAGTGTTGATTTAGTATTGATAATGTTGCATTATGTTGTGTTTTGTGTGGCATGTGGTTTTTACTTGTAAGGTGTTTGTGAAAATGTCATGATGAGTTTTACATGTAAGGTGTTTGTGTAAATGTCACAATGAATATTGCATGTCCTGATTGAGAGAAAATATGTTCCTATACAATTAATCTAACTATACATTTTGGTTTGATAGGTTGTTGTAATAACACTTATAGTGTTGAAATTGAAAGCACTTCACATAGAGTTGAAATTGAAATTGAAAGAACTCATATAGTTGATGGTGTAAAGTTGATAATATAAGTGATTATTTGATGATAATGTAAACTTGAAACGATAATATAAATATTAATGATAATATAGAATAGAAACGATAATATATATTCTTGATGGTGTATAAATATTAGTGATTATTTAATGTTGTTTTATTAGTTTAATATTGTTTTATTAGTAAAATATATGTTAAAAAGGATATTAGTGATTATTTAATGGTTTATACATATATGTTTAATATTGTATAAATATTCTAATGTAATTCGTATTCTATAGATTTTTTATTATAATAAAATTAATTGATCATTTATATATGTTACTTGTGAAGAGCGGAGTTTATGAGCGTTTCTAAGAATATTATACTGTGCGGTTTCAGAAGTTGCTGACTTCTCTACAGGTATTTAGTTATTCTTTTAATTTGCTATATTTTCTTGAATAATTATAGTAATTTTATTTTCGATGAATATTCCTAATTGGTATTAAGCTTTTTAGTCTCTGTCCTTTTTTTTAAGCATTGTTTTTGTTTAACTTACTTAATAGTAAGACCATGGATAAAAAATAGATGTATGCCAATCGATTGTCCAAAGAGTACAAGAATGGGGTATTAGAATTCGTTAAGTTTGTTGTTGAACATGCCGAAGACGACAATCGAATGAAATGTCCTTGCTTAAGTTGTTGTTTTGTGGGTCGGGTTAACGCAGTTGGGTTGCAATCGCATTTAATAAGGCGTGCAACTGATCGAAGTTACACATGTTGGATATTCCATGGTGAGAAAAGTAACAAGAATGTTGAACCGGGGGATAGTACGACATATGCTTCAGACGAAAATGACACAGATACATACGATTGTGATAGAGTCGAAGAGATTGCAGAAGCACTTGAAGAAGATCTTCAGGATTGTCCCAAAATGTTTGAGAGGTTGGTAAGTGTGATACGGTGGGAGAACTGACTAGTGTTTT